TAGTGAAAAAGGCCATTTCTATTTGGAAACAGTTACAAAAAAGTCAGCCTCCAGAATTCTGTATTCGATGAAGGTGAAATGATGGCACCTCCTGGTGACAGAACTCTAAGAAAATTTAGAGTAAATTTCCTACCCTTAGCACAGAGACTCTGAGGAGAGTTCTTCAGGCTAACAGGAAAAAAACAAAAACAACAACAAAAAAAAAACAACCAGATTAGAAACTCAGATCTTCAGGATAGAATGAAGAGTGTTGGAAACGGGAAATAATGCAGGAGAATATTTCAAAAGTAATAAAAAAATGTGCTGGAAACAGCACACCTGTAATCCCAACTTCTCAGGAGGCTGGGCAGGAAGATCACAAATTTGAGGCCAGCCTGGGAAACTTGGCAAAACCCTGTCTGAAAATAAAAAGGGAATATAGCTCAGTGGTTGGGCACCACTAGGTTCAATCCCCAGTTCCACTCCCTCACCCCCAAATTGTAGCCGGCACAGTGACACATACCTATAATCTCAGCTACTAGGGAGACTGAAGCAGGAGGTTTACAGCCCCAACAATTTAGCAGGATCCTGTCTCAAAAGGGCTGGGGATGTAGTTCAGTGGTAAAGTATACCTGGGTTCAATCTGCAGTTCCAAAAATAAAGTCAGTACAGTAAAAACAAACAAAAAAATATTTTTGAGTGGCACATCTTATAAATTGATGAATTTGTTGTTCCCCATAATTGGCGAATACATATTTTTTGTAGTTATATGCAAGATAACTTGCAAAAAAAAAAGCTAGCTTCAACAAATTTTTGAAAATTGGGATCATGTAAGAAACATTTTTTGATCACAAAGCACTTACATGTTAAAAATTTATAACAAAAAGATAAGTATAGAAAACACCATGTGCTTGAAATTTTAAAAACACTTGTAATTCTTTTTTTTGAGAAAACTTTATTAACACTGTTCCCCAAATATTAAATTTATACTTCTACTCTACTGATTTTCCTTTCATTAGTCTATTTATTTATTTTTGATTGGTTCTTTCTACTTATACATAAAGGTGCAATTTTCTGTTATATTTATATATGCATATAGCATGATTTTTAAAAACGCACCCCACATTTCCTCCCCTTTTCCATCTCTCCTTTCTTCCTCTCAGTTTTCTATTTTACTGACCTTCCCTATGTCTTTATGATATCTGATCTTCCCCTCCTGCTTTCCTTTATGTTGCTCTAGCTTCCACACATGAGAGAACATTTGAGCCTTGATTTTCTGAGGTTGGCTTATTTCACTTAGCATGATGCTCTCCATTTCCATCCACTTACCAGCAAATGCCATAATTTCATTCTTTCTTTGGCTGAGTAAAACTCCATTGTGTATATACAACCACATTTTTTGCAATACATTCATCTACTGTTAGGCATCTGGGTTGATTCCATAATTTGATTATTGTGATGTGCTGCTATATACATTGAGGGGGCTGTATTGCTCTAGTATGCTGATTTTAGTTCTTTTGGGTAAATACCAAGGAGTGGAACAGCTGGGTTAGATGGTGGTTCTATTCCTGTTTTTTTGAGGAACCTCCATACTGCTTTCCAGAATGGTTGTACTAGTCTGCGGTCCCATCAGCAGTGTATGAGTGTACTTTTCTTTTGAGATCCACCAGAATTTATTACTGTCTGGTGTTCTTGATGATTGTCATTCTGACTGCAGTGAGATGAAATCTTAAACACTTCTACATTTTTGACTGAAAGAAGAAACTGTAATGAAAATCAGAAATATTTAGAACCAAATAATTTATATATTTTCATAACAATTTTGGGGACAGTTTAAGAAGTAACCAGAGAAAAAAATTACATCTTTAAGTGTTCACATTAATAATAAAGAAAGTTGCAAAATAAATGAGGATATAGTGACATTGCACCAAAATAAAGCAGAAGGAAGGGGGCTTCAAAGAGAAGAACAGAAATTAATGAAATAGATCATAAACACATAATAGTATCCAGAAATGAGTTGGCAATTGAAGAGTAATAAAATAGGTCAATCTCTGGTAGGATTAATTTTATAAAAATAGAAAAGGCACAAACAGGAATGAAACAACATAACTGCCACTGCCAAAAGTTAATACATAGCAGGAGTCTATCCGATCCAGCTCTGTGCTTACAAATCAAAAAACTTAGATATGGATAAAATAGAAAACGTGGCAGAACAGACTGAAGAATAATAGAAAACCTATAAGTAGAAAATAGTCCTATCATCAAGAAAGTAATTGAATCAGTACTTAAAACCCACATCCCCAGATTTAACCAGAGAGCTGTATCTAACATCATGAGAGAACAGGAAAATAAGGAATGTTCCTGCTCATTTTATGAGACTAGCATAACCTTAACAAAACCAGACAAGGACAGTAGTGTGAGAACAAACATTTTAGTCCACTTTCACTTATGAATATTGATGCACAAATTCTAAGGAAAGATTGTGAAACCAGAAAAATGTACAAAAAGATGAAGTATATCATGAAAAACTTGGTTTGTAAGAACTGAGTCAACACTGAGTGTGGTGGTACACACCTCTAATTGGGAGGCTGAGACAGGAGGATTGCAAATTCAAGGACAGCCTCAGCAAATTAGGGAGGCCTTAAGCAATTTAGCAAGACCCTGTCTCAAATAATCAGAAAAGGGTTGCAGTGTGGCTCAATGGTTAAGCGCCCCTGAGTGCTATCCCTGGTACCCAAAAAAGAATTGAGTCATCAGAAAACTTACTGATATGCCATATTAGCAGATTAAAAAAGAAAAATCATGTGATGATCTTAATAGAAGCAGAAACAATGTAACAACATTTTATTAGCTATTCATTGAAAAATTCTTGGCAAACGGAACATTGGGGAGCTTCACAACTTGATTAAGCACTTCTAAAAGGAGAAAAAACTATAACAAACATTATACTTAATGCCAAAATGTTGAAATTGATCCTGTAAGATCAAGAGTAAGACCAAGGATATCAGGGATCTGCCCCTCTACTTTATGTTGTAACTTTGTAACTGGTGGTTTCTACTCAGTGCAGTAAAACAAAGAGAAAATTTGTAAAGGACAAGAAAGAAGGTGCTAGACAGTCAAAATTTGCAGGTAATATAAAAAATTTGGCAGATAATTAGGTTAAATTATTAGAATTATTAGAGTTAGAAATTAAAATGGCTTATAAAATTGTTAGAGTTTAGCAAGATTGCTAGATTCAAGGACAAAATTTTAAAAGAGATTACTTCCCAGGGATGATACCAAGTTCCTAGAAATAAATCTTACAAAGATCATATAAACCCCTTATGGAGATAGAGGATAAAAATTTAAAAAAATTAAGTTTCATGAAAAGATATTAAAGATTTAAGTAAACAAATCAATCCTGTGATCTTTTTTTTTTTTTAAAAAAAACCCCAGTATTATTATAACACTTCTCCCCAAATTGATCTGTAATTCAGTGCAATTCAGGTCAAAGTCCCAAGCAGATTTTAATCCATGTTGCTGGGATGAGTCAATAAAGCAAAGGAAGGTAGAGGAAAGACTTGAACAAGCACCTTATTAGAGGACTCGTGAATGACACATGAACATATGGATGGATGCACAACTTCATGAAGCGATAAAGAAGCGCAAATCAAAACCACCTTAAGGGCTTGGGATGTAGCTCAGTTTGGGAGAGCACTTTCCTAGTATGCTCGAGGTCCTGGATTCAGTCCCCAGCACCAGCACCACAGAACAAACAGAAAACCCTACTATAAAATATTTCTCATCTACCAGATTAACACAAATGAAAAAGTAAGATGATAAGCACCAGAGAGGCTATGAGGCAACTGCCAGGGCAACGAGACTTGCATTCCCTGATGAGGGGTGTAGATTTGAACAACCATTGTGGAGGTGCCTTCAGCATTACCAAGTGAAGGAGAAGGGACCTGTGGCCCCACAGTCATCGTGTATGCACCTGTTCCAGAGGATGTGAATGAGAACCAAAACAAAATGAGCCAGTGGCTTTATTAACAGAATTATTAACTGTGGCTTTTTTTTTTTTTTTAAAGAAAGGGATACTACACAGCACTCAGATGACAAATCCCAGCTACACCTCAACACAGATAAATGTCCTAAATGTGGAATGAACAAAAGCCAGCCACGAAAAAGCATAATCAATTTCTATTTATATAAAGTTTAGAAAGTAGGCACAATTAAGCAGCATAGCATTTAAAAGTATCCCTAATTATAAACTAGAAGGGAAAGAGAGTGGCTAATACACAGTTCACAGTGAGTGAGGTGTGGGTGTAATGCTTTGGTGACAGCAGTGTCTGAATGTTTGTCGTGGTGTTCCAGTATAAGGGGACGCTGGGTCTAGTTCACATGTGTGCTTGCATGGTGGCTGCACGACAGGACTGATGCTGAGCATTAGATGCACGCCGGGCACTTGTGACCCATTAAATCAGTTTTGTCACTCACAATCTGAAAATGTCTAATGGCTTAAGCTGGTGGTATCTCGCTGTTTTGTTGTTCCTCTTAATTCAGTATTCATACCTTTTAGGAAGCAGAAACCACTCACAGCACTGGGAGAGGATACCTTCAGGTGCCTTTGGAGAGCCAGGACAGAGTGGGTGGCTCTGGGGCTCTTTGACTGAAGGGGAGCCTGGGTTATGGGGAGACAGGCTCCTGTGGTTCCCCATAGTCTGTTGAGATTGGCATTGTCTCAGAGAGCCCCTTGCTTGCCCCCGTGTGGCAAGAGAATGTGCAGAGAATCTCTCAGCTGTTTCCTCTCCAATCCTTACCAGAGGGTCTGTCCTAGATTTCCCCACCCAGCACTTTCTCTCTCCAGGTGCTGGGCCCTGGCCGCCAGCCTGGCTAGTCTGAGAGAAGCACCCTTTTGGTGGCTACCTCACCTGGCACAGGGCACTGACCCAGTTGTGGCCCACAGTATCCTTTTCCACTTAACCCCAGCTGCTCAGAACTTTCTGAAGGTATCTCTGAGTTCTGACCCCACCTTTTTACAGGTGCCAAGCCAGCTGCCTCTGTGGACCCGTGGGGAGTGCCCACCACAGCCAGCACACAAACAGTCCCCAAGACCTCAGATCCCTGGGCAGCTCCGCAACAGCCTGCCCCCAATGCTGGGAAAACAACAGATGCCTGGGGTGTAGCCTCAGCTACCAAGCCCATACCTGCTTCGGGTGAGCGCCTCCCTGCTCGAGCTCTGAAAGCCTCCACCCAGCAGCTCCATCTGGCTCCTTGGCAGCTGCCCATTGGTTTGCTGCATTTGCTTCTCTGCTTGCCTTACACTGACCTCGGGTCCCGATCCCCAGATCCAAACACCCCAGTACGAATGAGAGTTCACAGGCCCCTCTCTGTGCTCCACAGCTTACTCCAGGTGTGCCACCCACGAGGGTGTTGAGAGGTCTGGACTGGTCCCAGCCATGGGTACTCTTGACCCTGGGCACTCCTTCAGGTCACTTCTACAGATCTGCATCCAGCGTCCAGCCACAGCTTAAATGTACCTTTGTCCTTATGTTTGGGGTAAGGACCATCGAGACAGTGGCAAGTGGACAGGCTCCCTTCTCCCTGCTGTCACCTTCCCAGCCAGGTGACTGGAGCCTATCTGCTGTCTTTAGCTCTTAGTTCTAGTTCTGCCCTGTGAGATAGGGTAAAGAGGGAGAAGCCCCCCTGGCCTTCCCATCCTCGGGATGTAAACTGGGTGACTGCAGTGCTGCAGGGTCTTGTGAAGTCCCCACAGTCACTGGCTTCTGTCCCCCCAGGATCCTTTGAGCTGTTCAGTAATTTCAATGGTACAATTAAAGACGACTTTTCTGAATTTGACAACCTCCGAACTTCAAAAAAATCAGGTAGGTAAAGGTGGTTTCTGTACTGTTCTGTGCATTTGACTAGCTTCATTATTGCAGAAATAATAGCTCTTGAAACCCAGCAACTTTATGCCTTTTCTCAGTACTTTGATCTTAAGAGCCTGAAGCTTGTAGTTTCATGAACTCATACATTGACGCTGGAAAGTCATGAGAGGTTGAGGTTTTTCTCAACTTTTCCTCAAGGTGAGTCCCGTGTTCTGTGTCTGGTTGCCTTTCTCCCAGGGCTGTGATCCATGTCGGCCAGAGCCCCAGGCTGCATGCAGGTGTTCACTCTGGCCTCCCTGCCAGGGTGGGCTCATCCCAGGTCTGATACATCTTGTTACCTTCCTTCCACCAACCTCCTGCTTCCCAGAGGTGTTTCCTTGGGTATAAATGGGGATGGTCTGTGTCTACTTCCCTCAGATGGCAGTTTCTGCCCAGGAGACCCTGATCCATTCCAGACCCAGCTGGGCTGGGAGGGCATGGGGGTTGAGCTTGGCTGGAAGCTGTAGTAGGGAAGTCCTGGGGTGTACTCTCATGTACCCTGTGTAGACTGAGGACAGAGCTAGGCAGCCTCTGTCCATCTTGGTCCTTATCTCCAAGCTCCATACAGCAACTTCTGTCCTTGGCTTTCCCCTTGTCCTTCCCACTTGCCCATCCTACTCCTTCCTACCCTTCTGAGCCTCTCCCTTCTGTTTAAGCCCCCCTTCAGCTGCAATCCCTGGCCTGATAAAAGGAACAGCAGCCCGATCCTATCCCCATCTTATCCTCTGCCCCTGGGCTCAGGGGCTCCCAGCCAAGGTCCAGAGGCAGCTTTAAAACCCTGCTGCTTGCCAGGCTTGGGGTGGGACATGCCTATATTCCCAGCAGCTTGAGAGGCTGAGGCAGGAGGATCACGAGTTCAAAGCCAACCCCAGCAAAAGTGAGGTGCAAAGCAACTCAGTGAGACCCTATCTCTAAATAAAATACAAAATAGGGCTGGGGATGGGGCTCAGTGGTCGAGTGCCCCTAGATTCAATCCCCGGTACCCAAAAAACAAAACAAAAACAACCCTGCTGTTTTCACCTTTTTTCTTTTGCTACATTAAAACAACAAGATTGTGCTGGGTGTGGTGGCACATGCCTGTAATCCCAGTGGCTTGGGAGGCTGAGGCAGGAAGATTGTGAGTTCAAAGCCAGCCTCAGCAACTTAGGCTCTAAGCAATTCAGCAAGACCCTGTCTCTAAATAAATATTTTAAAAAGAGGGCTGGAGATGTGGCTCAGTTGTTAAGCGCCCCTGGGTACAATCCATGCAGGTCATAGTGCAACCTAATCTGTCCTTGCCCACCCTCTCCCTCTGAGCTTCTGAAAAGGCAGCTTGGCCATTGTTAAGTGTTGACTTATAAATATTTGTTCCCAATTAGAGAAGTATTCCTATTGTAGAAAATTTGGAAAAGTTTATGAAAGAAAATGAAAATTACCTATAAAATCATCTTTTTCTCAGCCACTATATTTCCCTCCAGTATCTTTCTGAACTCTTATTGGTCTTTTTTGTTCAGATCTGCTATCAGAGTTGAGTTCTGCCCCTGCTTTCCTGAGTTTTATGGAATAACCAATTGGAAACATTTTTTCATGACTTTAAAATGTATTAGAAATAGAAATAAAACATATACATATATGTATATATTTATATATGCTTTTCCCTCTATGGCTCAGCAATATTTTTAGTTATCAATTTGGGGGAGAAAATTTTAGGTTGAGTTCAAATTGTGCTAATGCAAATAATTTTGTGGTGAACACCTGTCTACTTAAGTCCTGGTTCACATTTTGCATTTTTTCCTTGGGCTGGATCCCTACAAGTGGGATGCCTGAGCATGACCATTTTGGAGAACCCAAGCCCTTGGGCAGCAAGCAGTCATGTCCTCTGGCCTGTCTCAGCACACCCTCTTCCGGCTGAATTTCAAAACATAGTTTACTTTCTTCTTGCTATCAAGAACATAATGTTTCACTGTAGAAAATTTAGAAAATGAAAATGTAACATGATATATTAAAAATTAAGTTATCTGGGCCTTATCACTAACCCCAAATAACATCTTAATATTTTTCGAGGATTGTGCTGTATGTACTTTTTTGTATCTTGCTTTTTCCACTTAACCATTTTGATAGTTTTCTTTGTTCCTCGTTATGTATCATTCTGTCCCTATTGGGTTATATGGATATGTGGTTTCTTTAACTGCCCGTGGCTGGCTGTCTCCATTTGGGGATGCTGGAAAGGGACTGCAGGGAACACAGCTGCATGTATCCTGGGAGTCAAGGCATTGGGCATTGATGCTTATGGGGGTGAGAGCATTAGGTGCATGGTCTTAGACCCCTACACTCATTTTGCCACTTGTGTCCCTGTCTTGCAGCTGAGTCTGTGGCCTCTCTGCCATCCCAGAACAATGGAACTGCAAGCCCTGACCCCTTTGAGTCTCAGCCCCTGACTGTTGCCTCAAGCAAGCCCAGCAGTGCCCGGAAAACACCCGAGTCTTTCCTGGGCCCCAACGCGGCCTTGGTGAACTTGGACTCACTGGTGACCAGGCCCGCCCCAGCGGCCCAGTCCCTCAACCCCTTCCTGGCCCCAGGTAGGCACATGTCTGGGCAATATCCAGCTGTTCTGCCTGAGAGTGGGTATACTGCAGGTCTCTAAACCTGACTCTCCCACCTTGGGGACTCTTCCTGCTGTGCCCAACCTAGGGCTGCATGGCCTGTGGCCAGGAGGAAGTGGAACTCCAGAACCTGTGCTGTCTCCTCTCTCCAGGGCCACATGGGGTGGGGCATGGAAGCTGCTGTTTAAAGCAGGGAGAGTATGGGGGAAACGGCTCCTCCTCTTAGTTTAGAGCACTGAGCAGAAGCTCTTCCTACTCAGTGCCCCTGGCAGAGGACCCTCCGGCAGGGGCCATTATGAGGTCAGATAGAAGTAGGCAGGGTGCTGGGGCAAAGAACAACCAAAGTTTGCTGCACAGTATCCCTCCTTGAGGGGGAACTTAACTTGGCCCTCTAGTATAAGCCAGCCTTGGGATCCAGAGACCCTCACCACAGACCCTGGTGCAGGATTCTGCTCTCGTCCTCTTAGGGGCTCTGCATTAGTTGCAGAACAGGCTTCGAGCTGCTTCATCCAGCATCCAGGGTCACTGAGGTCTGGGCGATGGTCTCCCTAGCCTAGCCCCACCCTCTTTTCTCTTGTGGACCACATGCCCTTGGCTCCACTGAACTCTGTACTAGGACCCCTCATTACCTCCATGCTGTGATTCACCACTCCCTCAGCCTAGATCCTCGTTTCCTCCAGCACCTAGCTCAAATGACTTGCTCTTCTAGGAATTTCTTCCCTGCTGCACAGACTGACCTATACTTGGAGTTCCTGGGACCTACCCAGCTTGAGGTCCTCATGAATGAGGATGTGGTCACAGGGGAGGGTGGCCCCTTAGGTGAAGCTAGATTAGGACATGAGCTCCTCAGCCAGCCTGGAGTGTCTCTCTGTCCAGAAAATCTCCTGTCCCCTTCTGCCAGGGAGCCCCTAGAGGCCTAGAGGAGCTGACCTTGTCATCAGTTCTCTGAGAGCACCTTGTTGGGGCCTTGAGGCAGCTTGGCCATCTGAAACCCATCCAGGGTCTGGGAGCTTTCGACAAGATAGACAGGTTTGGGCAGCCCTATTGGAATCCAGGGCCATTCTCCAGGCCCATTATCCAGGCCATGCAGGTAGTCCTGGCTGTCATTTTTGTAGTTACATGGACCAGAGACATGGTCCTGGGCTCTACACTTAGTGAGGGTCTACTGCTCTGCAGTCTTTTGTTTTCTCTACCGTGAATCAGGGTTGACTTACAAAGCCCTCATTGCAGGCTCGAGGAGGAGGAGCTCATCTCCCCCAGTATGGGTCAGAGAGTAGCAGCCTTGTGTCCATGGTGGTGACTCAGGCTGTCCTTTGACAGGCATGCCTTCTGGACACAGCCAGGCTGGACACTCAGAGCTGGTAGTGCTATGTTTCTCAGCAAAGAATCACTAGATGTTTTGCTAGCAGCAGAAGAGACTTTCTGGTGTGAGGGAGGTTTGGGGACTTCAGCTTCTTGATGTCAGGACTTCCCTGAGCCTTCAGAGTGCCAGTGGACAGGGCCCACGGTGTCGTGTATTCACTGAAGGTCATGTGCTGCAGTTCCTGTACTGCTCCCCGCATCTCCCCACCACTCACCCTCCTCTCTCCCAGACATCTGTGGTCACAGCTGGGGAGACAGAATGAGGGAGCAGGCAGCTGTTTACTGCTGATGGTGTCCTGGGTGCCAGCCCTACAGAGGAGCTAGAATCTCTGAGCCTGGTGTGTCCTAGAAGTGCCTTGTTTAGCTTTGTGACCCCAGATAAGTCACAGCTTCTCACAGCTGTCGTCTTCTTACCCTGTGTGATTCCTGTGGTCATCGGATGTTTGTTAGTGCCTCCTTTGGACTCAGCCAGTACTGTAATGGGCATAGCAAGGAACAGAATACAAACCCTGACCTGGAGCTCAAAATCTAGACAAGAGCTGACTGTGGAGGGTGGCTGTGCTGGATAGTATTCTCCGAAAAGCTCAGTCCTTGTTCCTCTTGCTCTCTCTCCAGGTGCAGCTGCTGCCTCAGCCCCAGTCAACCCCTTCCAGGTGAACCAGCCCCAGCCGCTCACATTGAACCAGCTGCGGGGGAGCCCAGTCCTGGGGAGCAGCGCATCCTTTGGGCCTGGCTCAGGAGTAGAGCCCGTGGCTGTGGCCCCTATGACCTCAGCAGCCCCACATCCAGCTGTGGGGGCTGGTGGCTCCTCTTTGACATCACTGGGCCCTGCAGCGATGAACATGGTGGGCAGTGTGGGCATTCCCCCATCAGCAGCTCAGGCCACCGGCACAACCAACCCTTTCCTTCTCTAGTGCCCCAGGCTTCGACCTCCCTGAGTGAATGCCTGGAGTACCAATGTCAGAGGACTCGTAGCAGGGACTCTCGTTTGTGGGGTGGCGGCTGAGAGTGTGGAGTGTTAGGACTTTTCAGTTCCAGCTTCCTGGTGAAGGGTTGTCCTATGGCCCTGACCCTTAGACTGAGCAGCACATAGCTGTCCACGCTGTGTGGGGTAGGCCTGCCCTTGCCGCCGCCTCCCAAGTGGTCAGCTCCCAAGCTCCTCTGAGGCCTTGGACAAGGAAGCAAAGTCATCAGTGTTGCTCTGGCCCCAGCCTCAGCCCAAGGGTCTCTGGCTTACTGCCTAGCCCCAAACTTGGGACAGTCGCCTCGTCTTTACTCCCACCCCGCAGCCCTAGGGGCACTGCAGGCTGTCCCCAAGGTGGATGGGATGAAGCACCCTTCCCATTCAACACTGACCTGTGGGAGAGTGGTTGTGCATATTTTTCTTTTTCTTTGACTCGTGTGTGAGTTCAAAGTAAACACCACCGTGGACAACTCTTGAATTAAATCCACTAGAGCAAGCTTTAAAACTAACCTGAGCATAACCCTGCCACGTGGCTCTATGCTTGTACACGTTTGCACATATTTTGTTTAGTACAGTTTCATATTTGAGTTTGCAGAATTATCTAATAGTCTTTTTTTGGCTAATATTTTTATAACGTGGTTCTTATTTAACTGTCTAGTTTTGATAGAATTTACCAGGTCAGGCTGACTTAAGATCTTGGCACGTGTCATTTTAGTGGTTTAAATCCTCTTATTTATGGTTTTAACTGTAAGAAAATTTAAAAAGGAAGAGATGTTTGGATGACAAAAATATGCCTTATGGAAAAACTAAAGCAAATTCTTTATAGGGGAAAGTATGAAAATTTGATTACACAAAAAAGATGATGTTTATTTAAAAAAACAAAAAAACCTCCAACAGCAACAAAAACTCACAGCCTCCAGTTGCCTTTTCCTTTCTCTATTTTGGTGATTTACAAAAACCAGTTGACTCTCAGCCTTTTTGGCTAGTTCATGAGAGAGGCTTTTATTTCTTAACAATATGCCATCTTGAAAATTGAAAAAAACTAACTTATGAATGTGACTCACCAGTTTTTACCAACTAATTCCTTTTTTAATTAATGTCATGCAGGGATTTAGGGACTTCTGTTTACAGTGGGAATCTGAAGTGGTGGAATTTCCCTTAGCCTTTTGTCCATGCTCTCCTCTGACTCGGTCTATGCTCAGGTTAACGACAGGATCGGGTCCCAGAGGTCCCTGGAGGATGGTCCCCAGGCTGAGACAGAGGCAGGGAACCAGGGCTGGCCCTGATCCATCTACCTGCCAGCTCTAGGCACAGGTTGCAGTTTGAGAAGTAATCGTCTCTTATTTTCGAGATGAAAAAAAAAAAAATCATTCTCACATAGGATCGAGTTTTAACATGCACTAATATCTCCCACTCCCAACCTCCTGCTGTTCTTACCCCATCCACCACTGTAAAGAAAAGTATTAAGTCCCAGATTATAAATTAGAAAAGACTTGCTTTTCCCCAGGGAAGGGACAGTCCCCTGAATCCTGTGTCCTGGCAACTTGCCTGGCAGATATTTCTGAAATCGAGTCCCAGCTTGGACTTCTCACCCCCAGCTCTAAAGGCAGCCGACCACCTGCCAGCTCCTCTCTGTTCCAGGAAGAGATCCCACCTCAGCACCAGCATGGGAGGGATCCACAATGGTTTCTGGGCTGCCAGGAGGCCACTCGAGCTCTGAGTGAGGACTGCCTGCTTGGGCCACTCCTCCCAGAACTGGAGGCCTGAGGCCAGCCTTGGTGCATTTGCCGCCCAGGAAGGCAGGTGGCTGGGTTTCTCTTGCTTGGGGAGGGTGGGGGGCACCATGGGATGCCGAGGCAGGGCGCCTGCCCAGGATGGTGCTCTCCCTCAAAAGGTGCAGGGCCTGGGCCAGCGTATAGGGTGGTATACCAGACTGCTTGGGGTCAGTGATTCTTTTGTAATAGACAAGAGTCCTTCCTTATGTGACTGAGGCCCCAACCTAACAAGCCTCTGGGCCACCCAAGAGCAACCCTCCCTCCGCCCAGCTCCTGTTACAGGTCATCCTGAGTGCACGTTGTCCCTGTTGCCCACTGCACTGATCATGAAGCCACCAGTTGCTGCCACGTGTGTTGCACACATGCTACTGTGCCCCCTCCTGATGAGCATCATGGTGGAGGAAGTCACCCAGCCATTTCCCTGTGGGCCGGTGGCTGGTTTTGAACTTGTGTTGACTGTTGATACTTATTTACTGTATAAATATAATTTATCATTTGTATCATGATGCGGTTTCTGGCTGTGTCCTTCTGCCTTCCATATTGTCCATCCTGTGCCACAGAGGGTTGGGCAGGCTAGGGAGCCCATTCCTGCCCATAAACAGCCTGGCTTACCATCAATGAGGTTATCACCCAGCCCAAGTGTTCTTCGGGGGGAGGCCTGCCATCTTGGGGTGCAGTTAAGTGTGGTCTCAAGTCCTCTGCCCCTTCCTTTGCCTGCCCCTTTGCAGTGGTGTTCCAGTGGAGGCCTGTTTTGAAGGAGACGGCAGCAAGTGTGCCTTTTCCAAGGCCTGGCTTCTGTCTACCTTAGAGGCCTCCCAGAAGAAGCTGCTACCTCATCATTTGGGGTAGACTTGTTTTGAGCCCAGGGGAGTGGGGAACTGGTTTGGTTAATGTGTCATCAAATACTTTACTCTTTTTCCCATACATAGACCAGAAGGTTCCCTCCATCTCTGCATCCAGCTCAGAAGTCAAGGATCTCTGGGGGGTGGAGCACATTCTCCAGCAAGGCAGGACTGTCACTGTGCCCTCCCCGCTGTCAGCAGCAAATGGTGCAGCAGGGGTAAGTGACCATAGTAGGCTCCAGTTGGACACTGGCAGCTGCTGGTCCTTGGCAGTGACCTGTGAGGTCACCTGTCTAGAAGACAGGAAAGGACCTGATAAAGTTGTGTCTCTTTTGGCAGGGAGGTAGTAGGGGAAGAGTCTCCTGACCCGTTTCCTCCGTGACTCCAGGCTCTGTCCTCTAGGAATAGCCCATCCTTTTTGTACTCCGCCTGCTATAGCCAAGGTGGGCATCAGTGTGTGCTGCTGGGGGGCTTGGCTCCCTGCCTGCGGGTAGACATTCCTGGTCAAGACCTGTCATGTCAAAGGTAGTGTACCAGGCTCGTGGGTCTTGCTTGGCAGTGTTCTGAGCTCTCTGCTTCCCATCAGTTCCACATACAAATAATTGCATTATTTTGGTTAGAGAATTACTTTTGATCCTCCAGTGGTTGCGTCTCTCAGTATGGTCTTCTCCTACACAGACTTGGAGTGGCCAGTGGGACATGAGAGCAGGCAAGAGGTAAGCAGGGCCTGCGTGTGGCTGGTCCTCATGGTATGACCTACTGGCAGCCTGGCTAGTGGGCTATGAGAAGTTCAAATGCGTGGAGAGGCCAAGTGGTGGAGAACTGAGGTGCTCTGGGCAGTGACCCCAGATAAGCTGTCAGATAATAGCACCTAGGAGTGAGCACAGTACCACTATGAACAACAATAATAAGTTGTCTTAAATTGTAGAGTTTGGGGGTAATTTGTTAACACAGCAATAGATTACAGGAGCATACGAAGTTCTTTCTCAGGAGCTGCCAAATCCCCTTGCTGCCCTTCCCCCTCTCTTCCCTCAACTTAATGGTAGTCCTCACGGGTCTATGGGATCACCATGGGAGGGCCACCCCCTCATCCAACTGAATGAAAGACTAGTTATTTTGTTCAAATGAGTAGTAATTTTTATTAGGAATTTATTATTCAGAGCAATTTTCAATCTTGCCTCCTCATTGGTTCTAGATACAGTCTCCTTTTTCAACATTTTGACCCAAAACTTGAGATTGTTTTTGTTCCCTTTCACTTCTGCTTGCTAAGTGGTCAGTTCTTTCCTGAGTACAAACATCATTGACAGCAGCTAGCTCCCACTGTATATTCTACTATCTGTCTCTGTCTCCTAGAGTTGTTGATTTGGCACAAACCGACTTTCATCTTGGGTGACATCATCTGCTTGTGTGGTATGAGTTTCCTGCTGTCCATCCAGTTATCTGTGCTCAGTTCCTGACTGCCCAATTGGTGCCCCTTAAAGTAGTTTTTGTTTTGGGTTACAACAGAAATCTACCCCTAATAGCAATTATCATGCCTAGGAACAAACACATCTCAAACTGCTTGAGGCTAAACACAATAAAAGTGTTTTTCTCACAAAATGCCCAACAGCTGGGAACTGTGAGATTCGTGTTTTTGTTTGTTTGCACCAGGGATTGAACCCACAGGCACTTAACTACTGAGCCACATCCCCAGCCCTTTTTTGTATTTTATTGAGACAGAGTCTCATTGAATTGCTTAGGGCCTCACTAAATTGCTGAGGTTTGCTTTGAAATAGCAATCTCCTGCCTTAGCCTCCAGAGCCACAGGTTACTACACGCAGCTCTCCTTCATGATGCTGCCATCTTCAACACATAGTTCAAAGGGCTCACTCTGTTGACAGGAACAAGAAGGATTACTCAGGCAGTTAAGTAGGTCAGACCTCTAAGAAGTGAGCATTTTTTTGGTCAGAACCACTTGTTTGGATCTACAAGGGGCCTGGGCAATGTCTTCCAAAGTGTGCCCAGGAGAAAATGGAAATGGTCTGGTGAGCACATCATTGTGACAGGAGTGAACCAAGGAGCCATATGCCTCAACTGCTCTTCGTGTAGATGGTTACTCATCCATCTTGCTTCCCATGTCCCAGGCACATATTCAAGCTGTCAATCTCCAAAGTTCCCCATTGCATAGTTCTCAGTGACTAGCAGGGGCACAAGGGACTCTCCTAGCTGATGGTGATGTTCTTTGCCTCAGCACCGGGGTATGCATTTGTAAAAACTCAGATGTAGCACACTTAGGATTTATGTATTTTGTTGGATATAAATCTTCAAAAGAAAGAACAAAATGGGCTGGGGCTGTAGCTCAGTGGTAGAGCACTTGCCTAGCATGTGTGAGGCACTGGGTTTGATCCTCAGCACCACATAAAAAAATAAAATAAAGGTATTGTGTCAACTAAAAATTTTTTTTAAGAAAGAAAGAACAAGGGCTGGGGCTGTAGCTTAGTGGTAAATTGCCTGCCTCCTATGTGTGAGGTACTGGGTTCAATCCTCAGCAACACATAAAAATAAATTAAGATACTGTGTGTTCATCAATAACCAAATAAACATTTTAAAAAGAAAGAACAATATTGAACTCTAGTTAATGATAAGCATGCTAAAATAGAAAGCAGCTGGTATACTGAAGTCTGCAGTTTATTTTGAAGTACACTAAAACCAAGATGGACTGAAGGAAAGACGAACAGTTGGACAGACAAGAAAATTCAAGTATAGTCATTGCCCCTCAGTATCCGTGGAGGATGTGTTCCAGCCACTCCCTAACCCACAAATACTCTTACATAAGTGGTTTAGTAATTGCACATTATCCCATATTCTTTAAATCATCTCTAGATTATTTATTATATATGTAGATGATATACAAATAGTTGTTATGGGGCTGGGGTTGTGGCTCAATGATAGAGTGCTTACCTTGCATGTGTGAGGCACTGGGTTCGATCCTCAGCATCACATAGAAAGTAAATAAATAAAGGTATTGTGTCCATTTACAACTAAAAAATATTTTAAAAATAGTTATACTGTATTATTTAGGAAATGATGAAAGAAAAAGTCTATCTGTTCAGGACAGACATGATTTGTTTTTCTGATTTTTTTTTTGATCTGTGGTAAGTGCAACCTACAGATAGAGAGTAGGAAAATGGTCCTGGTAGAATCTAGGTGGTGGGTATGAGGTATTCACTATAAAGTTATAACTTTTCTTTGTTTAAACAATTTGATAATCTTGGGGGGCAGAAATGGACAATTAAACTAACGGTGGCCCACCATGTCAAAGCTGCTGACAGATGGGGCAAACTAGCCTTTAGGATTGAACATGGATTTGAGAGGGTAGAGGTCTCAGGCAATGACAGGAAAAGTTGGCTGGCCTAGGTGGGGGTGAGGCTGTAGTCAGAGGAGACAGCATCTTTAGGAGCTGCAATAAAATAAGGCCAAGAAGTTGGTGGGCAGCTGGCAGTGTCCCAGGGACTTGTGAGCTGAGGCAGGAAGAATGCATGTTGGAGGCCAGCTTTAGCAGCTTAGCAAGATACTCAGCAACTTATCAAGACCCTGTCTCAAAACACAAAATAAAAGGACCAGGAATGTAGCTTAGTGATAAAGTGCCCTGGGTTCAATCCCCACTATGAAAAAAAGAAAAAAGAAGTGAGGTAGAGGGGCCTGGGGTTTTGTTTCTTGTGGTTTCTCTGAGTCGTTCTTGAGTGGAGGCTGAGGGGAATCATTGTGTTGAGGATGGAGGAGAGCCCCCTTGTGGATATGACACCTGTGAAAAACCAGAGGGCACAGGCTTTTGTGTGTTCCCAAGGGGCAGCCTCTGGAAGGACTACGAAGATCGTGTCTCTGGGAGTGTGGGATGCTGTGGCAGGACCAGGAGGAAACTATTTGGTGGAAGGGACGGAGAGGGTCCTGGAAGTTTGGAGACAGAAGGTATGAAAGAGTTTTCTCAGAGACTGCAAGAGGGAGTGGTCTGAGGAAATGCAGTGGGTCTCTGGGCACAGTGAGCACTGTGGAGGGCTGAGTTGTGGGCAGAGGTGGGCAGTCAATAGGCTCCATGATTGGGTGGATGGATGGGGAGCCCCCACTGGGGCTGAGGTTTTGTTGGGTGAGTGTACAGAAAGGAAGAAGGGGCACAGGTGTTGAGGGGAAATACGGTGAGTGTATGTAAGTGATGACCACAAGTTCTGTAGTGGATAGGACAGACAAAAGGAAAGAGGGGCTGACAGCTGGCAAAAGGCAGCTGGCTGGCAAGTGGCTTGGAGGTCCTGAATGGGATGAAGGGCTGTTGGCTTGAGAGCCCCAGGGAAGGACCACGATAGAAACAGTTGTCTAAGAAAGGGAAGCTCAGATCCAGGTTTTGCAGGTGATGCAGTTGTTGGTACCAAGCAGCTCTGACCACAGAAATGGGAACTGAGGCATAGAGGAAAAGATCACTGTAAGTGAGGAGGTTGAAGAAGTGGCCAAAAGTGTTTGAGGGATCATCCTCAAAGACCATGATGCCACTAAGAATAGCTGCAGAGTAAGTGATCCATGTAGGCACACCTTGGTGGACACTGATGGTGATGTGGTCTGATGGCTTGGCCTTCAGGAAGGAGGTGGTGGTCTGGAATGCTGAAGAGCAAAGACACATTCTATCTCTGGGCCAG